TCACTGTGTCTGTGTCCTCAGTGAGTCTGTGTCTTCAGTGTGTCTGTGTCTGTCTTCACTTAGTCTGTGTCTTCACTGTGTCTGTCTCTTCAGTGTGTCTGTGTCTTCGCTGAGTCTGTGTCTTCAGTGTGTCTGTGTCTGTCTTCACTGAGTCTGAGTCTTCACTGAGTCTGTGTTTTCACTGAGTCTGTGTCTTCACTGTGTCTGTGTCCTCACTGAGTCTCATTGTGTCTCACTATGCATAGATGAGAACAAAAACTGTATTTTTTGCACACACTTTGTTAAAACTTTACAAGTACTCAAGCTTTTTTGGTAGTTTGTTCATTTTAGGGGGTTCTTTGGCAAGAAAATGAGACTTGACAGATTTTCCTCTCCCCAGAGACACCATCCAGCAACCTCATTGTGTTCCCAGACTAACAAGGATATGTACAGTAATTCCTTCAAAGACTTCTGGGTCTGCCCCAGGGTCAGGTGAGGATTGTAATGTAGACAGACTAGTGAATCCAAAATTTTGTTTTTTGACTCAACTAATTCTTTAGGACAACCGACTGAAGTGATATCCTTATTACTGAGGACCCGGCCCATCCATGTTCTGCTCCATCCTACCATCACAAGAAGCCCTAAATGCTTGACTTCCTCCACCTGAGGCAGTCCCCCACCTCCACCTTGTCCCATAGGGGATATTCCACCTGTTTCTGGTTGAGAACCATGGCCTCGGAGTTGACGCTCATCCCAGATGTTTCACACTCAACTGTGAACCATCTCATTACATGCTAACAGAACCACATCATCTGCATAAAGCAGAGAGGAGACCCTGAGGTTCCCAAACCAGACAACCTCCACTTCACAACTGGGCCTTGAAATCCTGACCTTGAAGAAAACAAACAGGGTTAGTGATAAGGGACAGTCCTGGAAGAGTCCAGCCTGCACCGAGAAAGAGCTGGACTTTGTGCCAAGAGACTAGACACAGCTCCTGTTTTGGTTCTACAGGGACCAGACAGCCCTTAAAAGCAATCCTGGCACCCCCTACTCCAGCAGAACTCCTCACAAAATGCCTCGGGGATTACAAAACCTTCTCCAAGACCACAAAACACATGTACACTGGACAGTCAAACTCCCATGAGTCCCTTAGCAAGTCTGCAAGCATAAAGATTGAATAAATGTAGTTGTTTAATTTGACTTTTGTGAGAAAAACTTCATGTTTTATGGGCATGACTCAAAACCAGAAAGAGGAGCAATGGTTTCTCCACCTACTATCTGGTAAAGGATGCACAATGACTACCGACCAACAAAAAATAGTTTAAATTGTCTAACAAGGTTGAGTCAAGTCCTCTGGACAGAATCTCCTTTGTTGAACCATTTCGTCTTTTATCCAAAAGACTTCTTCAGTCTTTTGGATACAAGTTGTTTCAGTCATTTCAGCAAAGAAGATTCTGTCCAGAGGACCTGACTCAAGCTTGTTTACATGGATTATTGAGCATGCATCAGGATGGTTTAAATTGTATTTGCGGATTTAAAAATGAGGTTCATAGAGATAACACTAATACCACTCACTACAAACAGCAGGCAGTATTTAAAACTAACACTATCATCACTTTAAAATCAGACAGCTATAACCCTCAAGGTTTGTCAGAAGTGTTTTCAGAGAGTTGCTGTCACAATACAGAGGGTGTGAAAGACATTAAATTATGTAAATGTCCAAGGCAGGTGTCCAAGAAAATAAATAGCCTCTTTCCTTCCAAAAAACAGCAAGCTTAGAGATTACCAAAATCAATAAAGAAATCTGAGAAAATACTAGTGACACATTATTTTATTATGAAATGAGATTGGGAAAACTTTTTTTTTTTTGGCACAAATGTGTTTACAACCATTATGGGGGTGGTAGTGTAATGGTAAGGGGCTACATGAGATAGGAAGATTAGATTAATGTCTAAATATTACCATATATACTATTAAGATAACGCCTGTGCAGATTGGTTAGCTTGTATGTTTGTTGGCATTAGCTTGTATATTTATTATCATTAGTTCGTTTGCAAGTTTTTTGTAGATTTGCTTGGAGTAATGTAGGTTTGCATTGGTTAGCTTGCAGGTTTGCTGGCATTGTGTCTAGTGTTAGCTTGTATGTTTTCTAGGATTAGCTTTAAGGTTTGCTGGTGTTGATGGTTTTTAAGGGTAAGCTTAGCTTTGCTAGGGCTCTCTTTGCTACAATTAGCGTGTAGGGTTACTCAAGTTAGCTAGTAGGTTTGCTCATACAAGCAAGAAGAACAAACAAACAAACGAACGAACGAACAAAAGACAGACGAGGCCAAGCACAAAAAGGATCCCACAGCCCAATAGTCTATATATGTAATATTTAAAAATATATTTTAAAGATGTAGAGTAGGATATATTACCGGTAAGTCTTTTGTTTCTTTCTCCAAAATATCTTATGAACCAGTGAATTTTGATAAAACGCTCTGAAAGTAATCATGAGATATTTTGCTAACTGACATACAAATGAACACACACACATTATCATCCGTTTTGTGGTGAGCGATAACTACCGTATTTCCTCTTTTCGTTTTTAACAAAATTCCCCATTTATATGCACATTATGATGGAAACTTTACTTGGACCAAAGGAAGAAAAAAAATGGCTGAGCTCATTTCCTCTCCTGTCATAAATCCAAAATCTGATCATAATTAATAAATGTTTCTATTGTCATGCAAACGCTGCTGGACGGGAGCCATCAGAGCTTCTTTCTGTGTCAGTCCAACTTCATTTGTAAAACCCTGCTTTATTCAGCAGAGCAAAAAGAAAAATAACACACTTTAATGTGGATTTGGCTCATGTGCTGTGTGGGCGTTTTCCTATGCAGTTTTCATTCCACACATCCTTCCAGCGGGAAGAAAAAGGTGGATGTAGAGGCCATCCATGGCTACGCAGTTTAAGGATCTGTTGCTGCAGGAGTAGGATGGCTTCATATTGTCATGTGATGAAAAAACACCTCGTAATTTTAAACAGAACAACCTGAGATGCATTACTGTTGCTAATTCATCACACTGAGCATTCTCCTTTATCAGGAGTAAACTTGACTCGGAGGGTCTTTAAAATACAGACACAAGGCAGGGAAAGTATAAAGGATTTTTGTACAGATATGTTTAAGCTCAATAATCTAAAAATTAATGGTAATAAGCTTTGAAATAAGCATTGACAGCCATCTTGAATTTTTGATTACCACCCAGTATCTATTAGGGATCGCTCCAAGCTACTACAATAATAAATTTGAGGTCAAAATGTCTAAAAATGACTGAATTATCGCTTCTTTTTATAGCTTTAGCAGCCATTTTGAACATTTTTACTAGAATTCAGTATTCTTGGCTGCCACCATACAAAAGTCATCTTGAATGAGCATTCAGTATGGGTGCTGCTCTCAGCTACTACCACACCAGCTGTTAGCTCAGTATTTGTAACAGTGACTGAAAGTCCATGCATTCACTACAACCCAGCTGGATTACTGTAACTCACTTTATGCTGGGGTCAGTCAGGTTTCGCTTTCACGTCTCCAGCTCGTACAAAATGCTGCAGCTCGGCTTTTAACAGGAACTCGCAGGTTTGAGCACATTTCACCGGTTCTGTTCTCCCTTCACTGGCTCCCTGTGCGTGTCAGAATCAATTTTAAAATTCTACTGCAGACATTCAAGTACATTAAAGGCCTTGCACCTTCATACCTCTCCGACCTTCTTCATTCTTATGATCCTTCTCAGGCTTTGAGATCATCGGACCATCTGCTTTTGGTGGTACCAAAAACCAGGCTGAAGCTCAGAGGAGATCGAGCGTTTTCAGTCGTGGTCCCCAAACTCTGGAACAATCTGCCCATCAACATTCGACAGGCCACCTCAGTCTCTGCTTTTAAAGCTCTCCTAAAAACACACCTATACTCTTTGACATTTAACACAGGGTGATTTAGTATTTCATTGATTCTGATTCTGTTTATGCTTTTTGTTTTATTCCTATTTAACACAAGGTTATCAGATCTGATTTAGTATTTTATTATTTCTGACTGAGTTCATGCTTTTTTTTGTTGTTGTTATTATTCCTTGACTTTTGACACAAGGTGATCTGATTTAGTATTTCATTGTTTCTAATTATGTTTTGTGTTTTATATTTTTATTCCATGTGCTGTAAATATAACTTGTTGCTTTTTATTTGATGCTGTGATCTTTTTGTTAAGCACTTTGG